CCTCCTGCTACCGCCACCTGCACCGTCGTTACTAGCCGCAGAGACGGCTCCAACAAAAGGAGYARTGGCGGTTCTGTCCGGCCAGAGGAAATGACATCCGAACTGGCGGGAGCTCAGAAATAATCATGCCCGATCTGACAGAAGCCTGGAAGTGAGTGCGTGAGGTGGTTAAAAAAGGCTCCTATCCCACAAGAACGAGGTATGCTAACTTTTGCGTTATCTGGCTTATCTTGCCTTTGAAAAGACTCTAACTTGAGCTTCGGAGCCCTTACGCCGAGTTCTCCCCGGAGCTTCTTCACTCCCTCCGTTTCAGGTCCCCTGCCACTCAGCTAAGAAGCAAGATCATTGACAGCTAAAGACCGGTCGGATTGTGCATCATCAATAATAATAATCTATATAAAATTTGAAACCTAATAAGTAATAACTATAATTAATATTAATATGATGCTTGGGCATTCCATATAAAAATATTTTCTTAGGGATGATCATTTATAACTAATTAGTCCAACCTTGGGCTCGAGCAAATATTTTCTTCTAAGCTAAGTTTAGCTTAGACCTACACCCAGCCCACACATAATGCGGGTATAGGTGCATATATGTATAATTACACATAATATCTATGTCTATACATAATTATACTACATATCTACAAAATAATATTTTTTTATCAAATGTGGATTTTAATCAAATTGGATGGGGTTAAATCCACATCCAATTGAATTATTAATTAGATGCAAGTTCTAAGTTTTAACATCCAAATCTGGGATAATCGGATTCGAAGTCTAATTGAGTATCGAAATTTCGGAGTCTAATGACAACACTAGTGGACAGGGCCCAAACTAAGCAACCGTTAATAAGCTAACTTGAAAGTTATATGTATATATAATAAATATTATTATATAATATTTAGATAACAAATTTTATATTAATATATAAAATGTTATATATCTTTTATATTAAACTAGGATTAAATAAAAAAAATTAATTTATAAAAAAATTATAGTTTTATAATTAACACGAACAAGCTTATAGGCCCAGACAAATATTATTACACTTAAGGTGTGGGCTTAGCTAGGCCAGGCAACCTTAAAAATTGCTAATACACTATCAAAATTAAAATCAATGGGGGTAGCCCATCCCTCATAGCTCATTTGACATCAATATTATCTAAAAATAGTTAAAACCCAAAAATAATGCATGCATGGGTTGCACTTGGTTTGGTCCAATCCAATTATGAATGTTACGATGTGCGCAACTTGGGTGGGTTGGGTTAGGATGAAGATTATTCCAAGCCTAATCCAAAGTCTTAAACCTTGAGTTTGGGCTTAGATCAATTTAATTATGACTAAAAATGTTAACTATAGATTAATTTAATTATGACTATAACCTAATTTTATATATTTACTGATATTTAAGTATTTGAAATATTTAAATGATATTTACAAAAAAATTGGAACATTTAATCATTAATAAAGTAAAAATAAAAAATAGAACACTAACAAATAATATGGAAAAATAATTAATTTATTAAATAATTAGCAATAATTTATTATTTTGTTAAAAATATTAATATAATTAATCCAAATTTCTAAATTAGTAAAATATTTTTAACAAAATATTAAAAATAAATTTTAATTAATTTAAATAACATTGCATTCTTTCCTTAGTTATAAGTTTTCGTTATTTCATTTTAATTTGATAAATCTAGTGCATCGCACGGGTCCCCACTAGTACACATACATTTTGTGTCAAATTTTGTCATAGTGCTAATTGATAAAACCAAGTCTAAAACTAACCCAAGCGCATCTAATTTTAATGCAATTTGGGCCCAAGTTGGACAATTTAGGCTTGACTTTGGTATAAAGCCTTAGGTCCAATGCCAAGGGTTGGTCTGGGTTAAGATTAAATTCAGCCAAGCCTACTAATGGTTCAATCATTTGAATAAATGGGTTAACCTGTCATAATTAAATAACAAAAATTTAAAATATAGATAGAAACACAAAAAAAAAACATAAAATTTATAGAAAATCTTGACACATTAAGCATATCAAACAAGAAAAGTGTGATAAACATGAATTATTTTTAGAACTAATTGTGTAATGAAATAAAAAATTTAAAATTATCCAAAAAATGATATTGCTTTTTTTTTTCAAGTCAAATAGGCCTGAACATGATGCCATAAATATATAATAAAATTTCAAAAAATAAATAAAAAAATATAGAAAACACAAAAAATTTGTGTACATCTCTAATATTATATATTTATTATATTAAACAAAAACCAATATGATAAATAAGAAGTATTGTTATTAATAATAAAATGACATATAAAATCAATGTTAAATTGGTTTATTGATACTTAGGTATTATTAGATGCTACATTAACAAAACAGTGAATAAACATCTATTTAGGGGAAGGGTTAAAATGAAGTTTTACCAAGGTAGGTGTGTATATAAATGAAGTCTACATTTGCAAATCCGTATATTGGATTCACATAACGACAAAATGCTGAAGTGATGCTATGTGACCCTTTATTCAATAAACGCCCATCGTTCCAAACAAACGCTTAATTATATCACGCAGCACATATGCCACGTCAGCTTAATGTATGGAACCCACATGAATGAAGCTGACGTGGTGTGACTCTTTGGTTACAGGAAAAGACAATAGAGAGGTTAGGTGAAGAAGATGTAAAGCTGAAACCGGAGCCAAACAAACGGAAGCTCAAATGCTCGGTGCTTTTGGTTCCGAGTTCAATCCAAATAGGCACTAATTCCGCAACTCTCCAACTCTTAAGTCTTGATTAAAAGAGGGAAAAACGAGTTAAGAATGGCTGAGAGCGTTTCTGTAACATCACGAATGGCTTGTCTGGGCGGTGCTTGTCGTCTCCTCCCGGCGGCTTCCAGAGCCAAAGCATATTCGCTCCCTCTCCTCTCTCGTCCTCCTTCCATTTCTCTCTCTTCCGTCAAATGCCTCCGGTCGTCTCCTTCCGCCTTTCCATTGTTCCTTAATCGGGTCAGCCATCCGGAGCTCTCTCTCTCTCTCTCTCTCACTCGCTCCTCTGGTTATTTCTCGATTGATTGACTGATTGGTGTGTCTTGTTATGTGTCTCAGAAATTTCAGAGTAGGTCGTTGGTTCATCCTCCCAGTGCCGGCGGCGCAGTCGGTTCGCCTACTTGCTTCGCGTCTAATCCTGATCAGCTGAAGAGTGCTAGAGAAGATATCAAGGAGCTTCTCAAAACTAAATTTTGTCATCCCATTTTGGTAAAACTTAAACTCAACCGAATTGGCTGTGTTCTTAATCAAATTCTTGTCTATGTTGATTTGTATTGTTATTGGTCGAATGCATTGATTTAATGGTTGGAGAGTTGTTTATGGCTATTTGTCTCAATCCAAATGACGGGTACATTTAATGGTGTATGTGATGAAGTAGGTTTGTAAAACGAAAAACAAATACAATTTGGAAGGAGAGAAGTGTAGAGAGAGGGAAAGATAGGAGAAAGGGAAGAGAGAAAGAAATCCCACGGAACCACTCCAAGGGTCCTAGAATCACTCTAGGGTTTGTAAGTAGGAACCACTCAGGCTTGAAAAGAGCTCTCAAGAAACACAATAACTTTTTACCTACTAATGCAAATAAACTGAAAATTCAAATAATTGAATAACTTTCTACCTACTAATGGAAATAAACTGAAAATTCAAAAAATTGAAGTACAAGCCCTACCAAATTAGATGAATAAGATGTTATAGCCCAGGCCCACATGGGACTGGTCAAAATGACAAAAATACCCATGCTGTCCAAACATACAAAAATATAGAAAGTTTCAGAAAATTCCATATTTGATTCTTCATCTCCTGCATTAGTATGTCTATGTATCGCTTTCTGCTTAGGTTTCATTATTTGGAGTGTTAAATGTGGAAGAACTCCCATTTGACTAATGGTGTCTTATTATGATTTAGAAACATTGATAAGCTTGCAAAATAATTTAAACATTGATCGTCATGTAGGAGGGAATAGGTAGTCACGAGGCAAGTTGATATAGTGGTGTTTTGGAGGTTTAACCTCTCACTTGTTTGTTCCCATTTTGAGGTTGAACTAAAATTAGTTCTTAACCAAGAAAATGATTTTGATAGAAATGGTAAAGCCAAGTTGATTGGTACAAGTTCATAATTGTTAACAGGAGAGGTAGGAAATACTTGCAATAGATTGATCATTGTTTTGGGGGTTGGGGGAAGATGATAATTCATTTAAGATAGAATTGTTGGAGAGTTGTCCATGCAATGATGCTATGGTGGTCACTGCGGTTCAAGAAGGGGGAGGACATTTGCAACACCAATAGTGGTCTATTTAAAGTGGAAACTAAGAATTTAAGACCCTAACATGGACTTGTTTGGGCTCGCCTCAAGGGGCATGGCACAAAGGCGGCTCATAGAATTAGGAATGTAATATGTCACATTAACTACTTGAAGTAATGTAATTGAGAAAAAAAGAGACTGGGTTTTATATGCTTGAAAATGTTTTATATGTTTGATTTTATTTTTAAATTCTCATTTGAATATGGTTTACATTTTATGTTTATGTATTTTAATTTTACATATATATATTTGAAATTTTGTTTTTTTTTTTTTAAATTTTTGCGCCTTGCTTAAAAAGGCGTGCACCTCGCCTTGCGCCTTGCGCCTTGCGCCTTGCGCCTTGCGCCTTGCGCCTTGCGCCTTGCGCCTTGCGCCTTGCGCCTTGCGCCTTGCGCCTTAGGTGCAAATTGACCCCTGTGCCTGTTTTGTGCCTTGCACTTTTAAAACACTGATTTAAGCACTATAAGGATTTTTCCTACTACCAAATTTCAACCAAAGTGACCAAGGTTTGACTGATTAAGTAGTCACTTTTTTTCTTGTTGACAGTGCAATCTACAGGTCTGCTGATTCTGCCATCTGACCTCTTTTCTTCAATTTCTTGCTTTGAAACTTGCTGAGGATCTTCTTGTAACCACTTGTATCACATTCCTCATTTGGTGGTGTACTTTTGGGGTTGTATGGAGTAGAATATCTAAAGTACTAGAAAATAAAAGAAATAGCAGCAAAGTGATTGAGAAAGTGGGGAAAAGGAAGAAGAACATAGAAGAGGGAAGAGAGAAGACAGAAGAGAAGAAGATAGAAAGGGGAGCCAAAAAGTATGCTGCCACTCCTTATACTTCTGTTTATGTTAAGATTTATAAAAGATGTGCTATGACCATCTATACAACTGGCTGGTCCAAACTTATAGCAATAATACTAGCAATAAAGCAATAGTAAATATAACAATAAATAGTTAAATACTATAAATAATCGCTCGACCTATGGTTTTCTTGGGAAGCAGTTGCAGCATGTTCTTTTTCCATGCTTGGAACTCCCTCAATAGCATCTTAGCTAAAGACTACCATGGTTTAAAGCGGGGGCAATTATTCCTAGCATGGCCCAGCCTAGAATATGCATAAATAAGTAAATATATAGGATATATTATGTATCTTATATATTTATATGGTTTCATATAATATAAAAAATTATATTATACATTAAATATAATATATTTAGATTACAGTGTTTTAAAAGGCGTGGGAGGCGTACGCCTCCAAGCGAGACGCTCCCAAAACGCCCTGAGGCGTATGCCAAAGGCGCTGACACTTGTGAGGCGTATGCCTCATGTGCCTCATGCACGTCTTATATAAAAAGACAGAAAAAAAAGAAAAAAGAAAAAAAAAGAAAGGAAAGGAAAAGAAAGGGAAGGGAAGGGAAAGGAAAAGAAAGAGAAGAAAAAAAGAGAAAAGGAAAGAAAGAAAAGGAGATCCCCCCTTTCAACTAATGTTATGCATCTTTATTCTTCTTAATATAAAAGATTTTTATTAAAAATAAAGAAAAAATGGGATGCCCCTTTCCTCTTCATCCTTCTCCCCTTCCTCCCCTTCTTCCTCATGCACATCTTATAGAATTGTACTTTTGGGGTTGTATGGAGTAGAATATCTAAAGTAGTAGAAAATAAAAGAAATAGCAGAAAAGTAATTGAGAAAGTGAGGGAGAAGGAAGAAGAAGAAGAAGAAGTAGAACAGAGAAGAGGGAAGAGAGAAGACAGAAGAGAAGAAGATAGAAAGGGGAGCCAAAAAGTATTTTGCCACCCCTTACACTTCTATTTATGTTAAGATTTATAAAAGATGTGCTATGACCATCTATACAATTGGCTGGTCCCCCTTTCAACTAATGTTATGCATCTTTATTCTTCCTAATATAAAAGATTTTTATTAAAAATAAAGAAAAAAATGAGATCTTCCCTTCCTCTTCATCCTCCTCCCCTTCCTCCTCCTAACCCCCCTCCTCTTAAGGAGGCTTATGCCTCCTTGTGTTCGTGAGGCTTACACCTCTTGTGTTTTGAACTACGCCTCACGCCTCTAGGTAGTGTAACGCCTTGCGTCACACCTCCATGTTTTAAAACATTAATTTAGAATTGGTAGGCTTGGAAGGATGGACTGGCCCATGATCACCCCTATAAAGTGTAATCTAGTTAAAGAAGAGATTTTGGACTCTCTTGGATGACTAATATAAGTCCTTCATCCTTTATGTAAGTATTCTTTGTTTGATTTCAAGACCCAGTATCATAATATTAATTAGGCAGGTAAATATTCACATGGTAATAGCTATAAGAAGATGAAAATTTTCTTTTCTTTTTATTTTTTATATATCATTATCTTTGTATAACTACAGGTTCGTTTGGGATGGCATGATGCTGGTACATATGACAAGAACATTGAGGAGTGGCCACGACAAGGTGGAGCCAATGGAAGTCTTAGATTTGAAATTGAATTGAAACATGCAGCCAATGCTGGTAATGATTGCCCCTATTCATAATCTATTTGGCATATAATGATTGGCTCATAAGCTGGTATTTCAGGTCTTGTAAATGCATTAAAGCTTCTCCAGCCTATCAAAGAGAAGTATTCCACTGTGACATATGCAGATCTGTTCCAGTTGGCCAGTGCTACAGCTATCGAGGTCTTACTCTTTTTATGGAGTTGTGAATAGATATTCTTTTGGAATTAGATAATTTATTTACTTAATAAATCCTTGATGACTTCTAGGAGGCTGGAGGTCCTAAAATCCCCATGAAGTATGGAAGGGTGGATGTCTCTGGACCTGATCAGTGTCCACCTGAAGGAAAGCTTCCTGGTAAGAAAATTATGATTAATAGAGGTGTATATGTCAAAACAACATTTATAATCACATATTAAACTAATATCTGTAAGTCCTTTCTTTGTTTTTCATTTCACCTTCTTCCTTTGGTACTGATATTAATTTAGGAAGAAACATGGTGCTATTATATTATTTTTTGAAAAAGATGGTAACTTTTTTAATGAAATAGAGCGTACATAAGAAGATGTACTCAGAAATTACAACTCAAGTGTTAAGTAGGAAGAGAACTATCACTAAACAAGACATCCCTGTGAGCACCAGCTTTTATATAGAGGGTAACTTTATTAATGGTGCTATTATATTATCTAATAAAAAAAATCTAGAGATACTATAGAGAGGGGTTATTGCTTGGTGTAATGTTAAAATCTTGGGTTGTCGGGTTGTCAAAGCATGAAAAAATGAGTTTGAGTCTGAGAACGACCTCTTTGTGTTGGGATGATCATGGGCTGGGCCAGGTTTAGCACCTGTAATCAGGGACATAGCCTGTGCATGGGCCTAGCTTGCACCTGGGTCTACAATTTTAAACATATTGTTAGGTCTGTATAGTCCAGCCCTCCAAGACCCCAGATAGGGCTGTACACGGTTCAGTTTGGTTCGGTTGCCCACAGTTTTGTCAACTGAACCGAATATCTCGGATTAATTATTATAACAACTGAAACCAACCGAAGAAAATGAAAAACTGACTTATAATAGAACCTATCGGATGTTCGGTTTATTCGGTTTCAACCGAACCAAGGCATACCGAAAGCCCAATAAACTTTTTCTCTTCTTTACCTTGAAAATTATAACTTCACAGATGCATCCGTCATTTCTACTACAATGCTAAAGAAAATATTCTTTATTAGATATAACCGTACAAGAAAAATTAGATAAGTAATAAGTTATTGTTCAAAACACTGTAATGAAAAAGAATTAATAAAATAATAGGTATAGGACAATAGGTTCAACTTTTACTGAGTTACTGTTGCATTTCAAAGTTCAAGGTTCAGACCTGTACGTACATGGATACATGCCCTAAAGGCTATGGCCCCATTTTCAGACACTCACGATTAGGTAAACTCTCCTTTCACGTTCTTCTATGTCAGGTTATAAAAACACTTTTGTCAATTTTTTGGGAAGAGGGAACTAGGACATGAGAGAGTTAATATTCAAGTAGCATATTAGAGTTGATCGGTCGGATTGGTTTGATTTCGGTTTACAAGCTCTTAACCTGCAACCGAACTGGTGAATCGGGTTATACATATTTTTAAATTGAAACTGACCAAGTTAAGTTAAAAACCGATCACATTGGATCGAGGCGGGCCGGTTTAGTTGGTTTTTGACATTTTATGAACAGTCCTAACCCCAGATAGCTGGGACCAACACTGGGTATGGCCTTTTCAGAGACAATACTAGAGCTAGTCTCTCTTTCCTGCCATATGCTAGGCAATCATCAGCTATCACAAGGAGAGCCCATCTAAGTCTCCTTTTTATGAAAATTAAGCTGTTGTTTTTAAGTAAAGTGTTTATTTCCTAGTCATTCCATGAGCAGATAAACCTTTTTCTGAGAAAAATTCTTTCTTTGAATTGTTGATTCTCCAACTTTTTGAAACCTATTTTCCATTATTCTTGCAAAATATATATGAAACCTTCATTTCCTGGTATCCAAGAGAGTAATGTACATCTTTTCAATGTTCAAGAGCTTACTAATAGATAGTATTATAGTCTTCTTTCTGAGATATTTCTTCAATAATTTGTGTTCTTTAAGGTTGTGGTGATGGTCTTACCAATTGATGGTGTCTCAGTTGGTAAGTTCTCTTGCTGGTTGTAGCAGAGACTTGGGATCAAATCCCATTGTAACCATTATTGGGGGGAGGGGGGTATGGGTATGGGGAATGGGCTAGCCCCTGTTGTGTAGCCCCATGAAGCAAAAAAAAAAAAAGTTGTGGTGATGGTTCTATTGTATGAAAGTGCTGTGAGCTCTTGATTTCCTCAACAAGTTGTCATTCATTTGCTAGAAATTTGGCCATTGACTCAAGTTTTTCAGACTCCTATTCTAGTATTACTACAGATAACATCCTTAGAAATTGGAAGGAAGCAGCGACTTCAGCCCCAAACAAGAGTGCTACTATCAGTGTTTTAAAAGCGCAAGGGCCAATTTGCGCCTGAGGCGCAAGGCGAGGCGCACGCCTTTTTAAGCAAGGCACAAAATTAAAAAAAAAAATGCTAAAAATAAAAAAGTCAGAAAATAAAAAAATGCCAAAAATTTTAAAAAATGCAAAAAATATTAAACATAATGTTAATAAAAAATATAAAATTAAATTTTAAAATAAATGTTTTAAAAAATCTATTATCTAAAATTAAAATACATAAACATAACATGTAAAGCGTATTCAAATGAAAATTTAAAACTAAAAGCAAACATATAAAGAATTTTCAAGCATGTAAAACCCACAATCTCTTTTTTTTTTCCTTAATTGCATTTCAGTAGCTAATGTGATGTAAAACATATTGCATTCTTGATTCTATGAGTCACCTTTGTACCATGCCTCTCGAGGCAAGCCCAAACAAGTCTATGTCAGGGTCTGAAATTTTTATTTCTCACATAAAAAAATAATGATTTTATAACTTTCATTGCCCTTTAAAAAATATTTTATTGCAATGAATGAATGAATTTACAGCAGTTAGACTCAAAAAAAAAAGCAAAAAGCGCAAACTTTTAAAAAGGCGCATGCCTGCGCTGAGGTGCAAGACGCATCAAGCGCACGCCTAGGCGCACCAGGTGCGTGCCTAGGACCTGGGCGAGGTGCATACCCCAAAATGCGCCTTGCCTGTACGCCTAGGCGCACCTTTTAAATCACTGGCTACTATTCAGCTTTGGTTTCCACTCTCCACCAGAAACAGGTTTTATCAAACTCAATTTTGATGGTAGCAGCATGGGAAACCCAGGACTTTCAGCAATCCGTGGAGTATTTAGGGATGAAGAGAGTACAGTTATTGCTCTATATTCAGGCCCAGAAGGGGAGGGAGACTCTCTCAGAGCAGAGATCTTGGCAATGATGGAAGGAGTACAAAGGGAAAGGGCATTGAACATTAGGAAACTAATAGTGGAAGGGGAATCACGATTGATTGTAAACTGGTTTTATAGTGAGGAAATGAAGATGTGGATCTACAACAATGAGAAGAAAAAAATTAGGTGTCTGACAAGGGGTGTAGAAGTATCTTTTGGTTGGTGTAAGCATAGTGCTAACTCCTTCGGAGATACTTTAACCAAACAAGGGGTGGGGTGACAAGTTATTTTCTGGGCATAATTGTAAGGAGTGCTGTCAAGGGGAGAGAGAAGTCTTTCATCTCTTAGTCCTTACCTGTATATTTACTCATTGTATCATACTTTTTCCTAATATTAATGAAAGGTTACAGTTATTGACTAAAAAAAAAAAGAAATCCAAATAAAATCTGACAATGCAGGGAGGAAATTAGAAAACATTAGGACAATATGGAACTTACCGATGAACTTTAGGGACTGCCAAAAGAAACATAATTACACACTTAGAATTAAAAGAGAAACTGTGACAAGCGAATATATACATCAAACATGAGAATATTGGAAAATCACTAATGGAATGCTTGAAGTTTGAAGCATCTTATTTATTACAACCCAAGCAAGTTTTTTTGACAACAAAGAGGTATTATGCAAAAGCTCATATAAACAATTAAACCTAATTAGATTCATAAAAAAACAATTAAACCAAATTAGAAGGTTTATATTTTGATTCATATTTTGTTAGCACATAAACTGTAATTATTGGATCATCTACTTGGTTTTCTATTTTTCCATCATAAAATTCATGCTCTTCATTTCTTGGTGTCATCTTTTATCTATTTCAGCAACTAACTTCTAATATTGTCATTTATGCTTTAGATGCCGGTCCCCCATCACCTGCTACTCATTTACGTGATGTTTTCTACCGAATGGGATTAAATGACAAGGTTGCATCCAACATACTCTGTATATTATTCATAGATTTCATCATTTATCTCAATCAGTTTATTTCAACTATGGGCTGGTGTAATTGCAGGAAATAGTTGCACTCTCTGGAGCACACACATTGGGGAGGTCTAGACCAGAGCGTAGTGGATGGGGAAAGCCAGAAACAAAGTATACGGTACGTAGACAAGCGTTTTATTCTGTTAAATGGTAATTGTGTGAATGAAAAACATGTTACTTTCTCTTTCTTTCTTTTCGTTTTTGGTTTTGTTTGACAATAATGTTTTGTGTTGGGAGAGGCTTGTTTTTCGATTCATTTCCTTTGATTTTTGTTTTCAGTCTCCCTTCTAGAAGAAACTTTAACTCTATGTTGTTTTCCTTTACTTTCTCTACCTTCTGGAGTGAAAATAAAAGAGGTTAAAGAGAAAACTTTAACTCTATGTTGTTTCTTTATGCATATTTAATGATGAATCCTTTCTTTTCCTAGAAATATGCATTTAATTTCTTCACTTGCCTCTAGTCTGATTTTTTTTTTTTTTTTTGACATGATACAGCACCCTTACCCTTGTCCAGGTATCTGGATATCATAGTTTTTCCCTATTTTTTTATCAATTGTTTTTATGTACCTTCCCTGAACTCTTCACAATATGGCCCTTAAATTCTGCTACCAGTTTGGTTCATATGCAACCCTGCAGTATATATGCAATGGACTTGCAGAGAGCATATAATTCTATCAAAATAGGGAGTTTTTTATTCCCTAGTGCAGTCTATCCACTGAGAATGGAATGGTGGAAAGGGATTCATATATCTGACCTCATGCATTTGGGAGAAGGTTTAGTTGAATTGAGTGCAGTCTATGCATGGGAAGGAAGATACATGGTTATCATTTTTGTCTCATTTACATGGTGTCTGCAGATTGCTTAACAAACTATTTTCCTCCATTAATCTCTTCTGTTGAGAATGAGCCAGAAAAACCCTGTCATCCTGAACCAATTTTTTTTTTTGGTCTTCATCTTGTTCTTTTAGCAATTGCAACTTGCACTAAATTACTCCTTTCACGTAGCCACATCTTAATCCACTTTCACTTGCAATGAATTCCTGCAAATATACTTCTTTCTGATTTTACCCCTAAACCTTAATGACCAATCTTAGCATCCTCACCTTCGGTATACATTTCATGGATATGATGAGAAATAAACATCATAATGCTTCTTCTTGAGCAGTATGGTGGTTTCTAATGAAATGCATTCTATTACATACCCAAAAAAAACTGAGGTTTCTACAAGAAATTCTGGCCTGTAAAATTGATTGACACTATACATTCATTTTATTCTGGGGACATCTTGAATAAAGAAGAAATTGCAGTTTTTTCTAAATAAAAAAATTGATTATTTCAAATTTGAACTACTATGCAAATAAGATCTGTATTAACCAAACATGAGAGATTTAGGGAATGGAAGTTAAAATTATTACCTAAGAATTACATGTAGGCCCTTTTCTTTTAGAAAAAAAAAGTGTCAATGTGTTGAATAGATTAATGGCTATATGGTTACTTCATAGCAAGAATGTATTGAACACAAATTCAATTGCAACACTAATTGTAGCAGAAATCTCAGAAATTGAAATCAGGATATTAAAGAACAAGAAATATCTTGAGTTCTCCAATTTAAGAAAAAGAAAAGGAAAGGTCAAATCTAACCTGTCAGTATCTATGACTTTTTTTCCCTTTATGATAAAAGGTCAGTATCTATGACTTAAATCAATTCATTGTGCTACCGGTCAATATCTATAGACCTATTAATTGAAGATGGGAAAAAATATTCAACAGTGATAAAATCTGATTTATGATTATAAACTTCAGATTTTTATTTCTATATTACATCTGTATATCTCTATGAATCCAAGAAAAAAATGACTTTTAGGTTACATATGTTGTAATTGACGCCTTATTCCTTGCCATAGACAATATGATGGGGATATTCTCTATTTTTTTTATTATAATAGGTATTCTCATCATAATCATTAGTATTAACATTGGCACCTGATCTGATGATCTAGTCTGGTTAGTTACAAGCCAGTATTTTTGGTAGCAATTAACAAGCTTATGGTCTCTAGATCCTTTTACATCAATCGTTCTAGGTTTATGGAAATATCTTCAGTGATTATTTGTTTCTCCCAAGGACTTCTCTCTCTCATATTAGATAGTATCAGTCATTTTATTGATCTCAGATTATTTCATTGCTTGCATGACAGAAAGATGGACCAGGAGCACCAGGTGGACAGTCGTGGACTGTGCAATGGTTGAAATTTGACAATTCCTACTTCAAAGTATGAATATATGACATCCCACTTCTGAACAATAATATGCATCTTTATCTTTTTCTTGTCGTTGATTGATGATTGATCCTTACAGGACATCAAGGAGAAAAGGGATCTAGATCTTTTAGTTCTGCCAACTGATGCAGTTCTATTTGAAGATCCATCTTTTAAGGTAAAGAAATTAAGTTGTCATCTGTCTGAACCTATTCTGTGACTTATTAGAAGATGCAATAGAATCCACATTGATGAAATTTGACCTTTGCAGGTATATGCTGAGAAATATGCAGAAGACCAAGAAACATTTTTCAAAGACTATGCTGAAGCTCATGCAAAACTTAGCAATTTGGGTGCTAAATTTGACCCTCCTGAGGTTTCTCATCTTCTCCATGTTCTTTTCTTTGATGGGGATGCAAAAATGTTGTTGACATTTTCGTGTTACATGTTTTTTTTTTAATTTTGAGAACTTATTTCCTTTAAAATTAGGAAAAAAGATTTCCTCATCAAGTTAGCTAGGGAAATTCCCTACTTGACCTACCCAATTTATGCCACTGGTTGGACAATGTGGCTGTCCACCAAATATGGAATATTTAGGATCTTGCCTGGACGTTTAATCCTCCAGTCTATGCTAAATTGGTGGTTTTCCCAACTAATATTAGCCATTGAAAGTTTTATTTTTTTTTAGTATAAAACTTGATCATAGAACGCACTTATTTTGATCATGTAGAAAGACCTAATGGGCCAAACTTTGTTCCATGAACATAGAGTGGGGAAGGGAACATTTGAGTCCTTTTGGACTTCAAACTAATACCCCAGGTAGAAGATTTCTAGGTCATTTAGGAAGACTCGACAGGTAATTCCATTCCCTTCAAATTATCCCTATTATAGAATATTTGGGTTATTCAAGCCATAGCTAATATGGATCCGGGAGCTCATACCTATAGCTGTTTCATGTTATATTAACACCAAAATACAACATGGACGTAACTGAAGAATCTGGACTTTAGGGTTCCACATGTTTGAGTGCCCAACTCATTGCAGGCTTCAGAAACTGTGACAAGGTTACCTTACTGTGCCTTGTTCGGATAGATATCTCCACTATGTCATGTTTCCTTAAATTGAAATATCCTTGATTTGAATGAATGGGGATATTTTAAATATGGAACTAGAGTACCCTTATCTTCATTTCGTTTTCTTTCTTCTATTTGTTTCTTCCTTTCTGGAGATGCTAATTTTGTTTTCATTTGTTTCATAATCTCTCTGTGTGTGTGTGTGTGATGCTTATTTGTTGGTGTAGTCCCAAGTCAATTGTTCATAAAAGATTAACCATCTCCAATCAGCTCAGAAGTGGCATTCGTCTACCTTTAGTTTTTTTTTTTTTTTGTGGTACTCGTTGTGCCTCTGTTTTGTTATCATATCTTCACCAAGTGCAATTAACTTTATTCATGCGTAGGGTTTCTCAACATGATGGCCCTGCAAAGGCTGCACCGTAAAAGTTTGTTGCATCCAAGTATTCATTTGGAAAGGTTATAAGAAATTCCAACTTATATCCTACTTTCTTTATTTGGTTCTTATTGGTTTCTTTTATTTCCATGACACCCTTTAGAAGGGAATTAATTGTGTGTGCATAATTATTTTTCCAGAATATTTACTCTTCATGGTTTTCTGCAGGCTTAACAAACATGAATCCCGTTTTGTTTGTGCCGTGTCTTGTTAATAACTCTAGATGAGCTATTTCCAAACATGAATCCCATTTTGAAGTTCAGAGTGAACTCTTTGAGGATATGAAACAGAAAATTTGGGCAGAGTACAATGTAGTTGGCACATGGCCTGCCCAAATAAGCCTCTTCGGTCAAACTATTTCTTAAATATCATGATAATTGTTGTTGCTATTTTGTCTTTCTTGACTTCTATACTTGGCAACTAGGATTTTTCTGTCGTCTTGTTTGGCTTGTTTATATGAGACACCGTGCTTTTATAGTTTGTGCTTTCCTTTGTCAATTAACGGTTCGTTTATTTTAGCTCGCGGTTAAAATTGGAATTCGAATCTATTGGAATTGGAACCGCCTATTTCCCTGCCTGTTTAGTTCAGACAGGAGTTGGAATCGGATTCCATTAGTCACTTCTTAGTTCTTATATGGGGTGAAGAGAAATAGGGTTTTGGGGGGTTTCAAATCACTTCTGTTTTCTTGGCCGACTGGAATGAGATTCTCATTTCCAAGGGGAAGGGGAGAGGCCAAAATGGCCATTCAGTCAAATGGGGGAATGCTATTCTGTCAGGAATGTGAATTGAAATCCCACTATGCCCAACCGAATAGGGAATTCGAATCCCATTCTAATTGCTGGGGCCATCCTGATCCTGATGTTAAACACCTATTCTTGGGAACCAAACAGACCCTAGAAAACCTCTGCTGGGAACCTGGGACACAGAGGTTCAAGGAATGATTGGAAAATCCGAGACTTGGATTTGATTTGCCTACCCTTTAAAACTAGGCAATCCAATTAGCAAGTTATTTTATTTTATTATTTTTTGGTATAAACAGATGTTTATAACACACCGAAAAACAAAAGACAAACATAACAGTTTACAGAAGATCAGGTCTATTTAAGTCTCGACCATTTAAGATCCTAATCCAATCCGGAAAGGATCCAAGGAGAAAAGCAGACTCTGTTAGACCCCTCCTTGCAAGCTCATGGGCCACACCATTTGCCTGGCGATGGCGCTTAACAAAATTAAAGATCAACGAGCTCACTTTTGTTTTTTCCAAAGTATCCTGACAGGAAATAAGCTTCCAGAGCCAAATTTGCATCAATTTTGCATCAGGCCTTGATTAAGCATTCGCAATCAGATTCCAACACCACGAATTAGCAAGTTAATTCTTGTCAAGAATAACTACTTTTACTTGTATGAAATAGTAGAAGGGAGTAAATGAAACCAAAGTATAAAGTATTAGGTAATGGAGATGGATATTCAACCACAGTTTTCCAAAAATTCTTCCTGTTCTGTTCTAGGGATGCCTGCCTGATCAGATGGGCAGTCTGATCATGTAATTTCCCTTACTTGCTATTGTCTTGGCTCTTCTGTTAAATGGATTTGTACCGGTGTTATGAAAGTAAGAAGCACAATAAAAGCAGGGTGACCACATCCCTAGATAAAGCAAGGCCGAAATTTTTGAAAAAAAGTTACAAACAAATATACATAAAAAATGGGAACTTGAATTCTTGAGTTTTAAATGAAAGTAGAAGCAAACTAGTGTGGATCTTATCAAAGTGCTTCGAGCACATAAAAAATTCAAACATGTGAAACTTTCAATGTGGCAAATTCTTGCATCCTTAATCCTACAACTAGATTTTGTCTAATCCAATCCAGTCCAATATGAGTCCGTTACAAATAGACAAGGTCCAATCCAATCTAATGAATACTTTGGACCATTTTGGATCCATCTGCTCAAATTGGTTTTAATGTAAATTTTTTCCAATATTCTTATGTTCTAATGGACCAGATATTGGTTCAATCTGATCCAATCCAATATAAATCCATTTAGGGGTGTCAATTGGACTGGATTTGGTCCAATGTGAATCCATTATAAATAGACCAGGTCCAGTCCAATCCAATGAATATTTTGGACCAGTCCAATTCAACTTCTACACTGTCCAATCTGTTCAAATTCGTTTTGATTTAGATTGGTTTCAACCCAAACCTGGTCCATTAACACCTATATTCTTATCTTATTTCAATGGACCAGATATCGACTTAATCCAATCCAATATAAATTTATTATGGATGGACCAGGTCCAATCCAATCTAATAAATATTTTGGACCGGATTGGACCAATCCAATATGTCTTGTTGCTTCCTCCAATCCATCCAAATTGATTTTGAATTGGATGTAGTCCAATCCAAAACTGGTCCATTGACACCCTTAAATCCATACAATCCAATCCAATCCAACAAATATTTTGGACCATTAAGTCTGGACTGGTTGAATCATTATTAACTATTGGCCCATCCAATCTGTCCAAATTGATTTTGATTTCGACTGGTCCATTGACACCCTATTAGAGATTGATTGCATTTATATGGCCTCTTTGGTGAAAACTTTGCTATTTGAGATCCTATTTAGACTTCAATTATGATGCATTCACTAATATTGGATGCACGCTAAATCCAAATTCTAACAATTACATTAAAGTTGCTTACTTTTCATTGTTTATGTTTTCACAAAGTATACTTTGAGGTTTAACAAGATGAACTTTTCATCACATTTAACCAACAGGGTGAAACAGAAGCACCATAGATTTTGCCTCTGTTGGGAGGAGACGTTGACTATCTTTTCTATTTTTTTTGTTTTTCCCTCTAAGTTAATAGGCTGGTATTGGTGTATAAGCACCATTAAAAGGTAATTACATCGGGTCAGGTTTGGTTCAACCTGAATCCGATCCAAAGCACTGATATCAATAGGTCAGGTTCGACATGTGTTTGGTTCAACCTGACCTCGACCCAAAGTTTAAGTGTATAACCAGCCTGAAAATGAGGACCCAAACCCGATCCACTGACATACCTAGTTACGTAGTTCAATGTAATTACATTGTCTGGGCTATTTTGGTGAGGCAGATGGAAAATATTGGCTAAATCCAGTTTTAAAAATTTTTCGTTGTTTGGAAAATATATTGGCTAAATCCAAAACTGTTTTGGGCATCGGTTTTTGGATCAACGGTTCTACCGTCTGGTTCGAACAGATGGCCAGTTCTCATAAAAAAATAAAAATAATTAAAATAAAAAAAACAACAAAAAACTGTTGAATGGATTGACGGTTCAATTGCTCGGGTCAATAGATCGTTGACTAATTCAATAGTTTTTTGTTAAGGACCGGTTTAGGTGTAAAACAGAACTGATTGCCTGGATGGTTCCCAGGCCAAACGGTTTGACCATTCAGGTCAACAATGGTTCAAAAACATTGCATTGTTAACCATCCTGGTTAATAATTTTTTTCCTCAAATTTGACTATAATATGGAAAATACATGAGATTTTGTGATAATTCAACGGATATCATAAATGTGTTAACCAATCACGTGGAATTTATTAAAATTCATGGGTGGATTTTGATTTATCAAAACTCTTCCAATACCACATTTTTTTGGCGTCATAGATTTTCCCTTTTCCCTAAAGCTCAGGTGGCACCGCTCCCATAAAGGGGTCTAGTATACTTTTTTCTATTCTATCCCTATGGATCAGCCGGCCCATGACTTCGGCAGGAGTGGCAAGTCAAGTATTTGAAGAATTTAAAGCATCAGCCTAGGCCCTCGAGATAGGCCCATTTAGAATTTGGCAAATGCTCAACAGCCCACTGCCCACCCAAGTTGCAGGTTTAGGCTGCATTTGTCATTTCTTATTTTAAGGATTTATCTCTTTTTTATATTTAAAATGTTTCTATAAATACTGAATTTTTAACGGAAAAAGGGAGATAAATCCTTAAAATACGGAACGCCAAATGCAGCCTTAGTGGAAAAGGCTATCCGATTAAAGATCCAACGTGGTGTAGTTAAAAAGAATGCGAATTAGTTAAACATGATGGCTATTCAGCAGGCTGTGGAACCAATGGTAATGTTCCACACCAGTAATAAATTTATGTGCCAAACTGTAAAAGGTCCAAGTCTCATGTATTTTTTTTACTGGCGTGAAATATTATCTTTGGTTTCACATCCCGCTGAACAATCATCGCATTTAGTTAATCCTTCCTCAGTTGAGAACACACCACGCCACAGTGGAATAGGTGTTCTGTACTATGAACAAAATTAGGTAGCCTGAACCACACCACACCTGTATAGTCAGTTTGCATGGGGTGTAGTGTGGTTCAAGCGACACCCTATGTTTTAATTCCATGCAACCTTAAATGCAAAATGTGAGATAATTTACAATGTTGATCAATAATAATTTTTTTTTTGTTTTTTTAAGCAAAATATAAATTAATTTAACATGTGATCAATTTAATTACAGCTAATATGAATTAATAAAAAATTAATGAATAAATTCAAAAAATTAAAAGTAATATAAAACACGTACAAAAGAGAATTAATATTAATGATAAATAATTAGTAAAAAATAATCTAGAATTATTAAAATTAATAAAGACAAAAAAAGTAAAATTCCTACTTTTAATACCAATTAATAACAATTATAATGGTAAGATGAATATTATTAATTAGATATAAAACAAATAACTAAAAAAATATTGTATGAATTAATATACATGCAAAGTAGTGGATAGGGAGAGGAGATTGTGGCGTGTTTGGAACCACGAGTTATTGGTGTGTCCAGTACTTTGAGGTGTGGTGTAGTCCACACCACAAGATATTGGGTCTTGAATTACACCATGTCATAACTGAACACATTAAAGTGGTGTGGTGTGGTTGAAACCCACTATCATGTGGGCTCACTACACTACCAAAGGCCACCCCTTTAGGGAATTGAGATTTCCTGCCCACAAGAATTCTACCCACACCTGTCCTCATGATACTATAACTGTACATTGGAAACATCTCCCATGATAAACTTTCAAACATGGGAGATATTTTCAATATACAGCTGTAATGAGACGTGGGTAGGCATGAGTAGAGTTCTTGTGGGTAGGAGATCCGAGTTCCCCTTTTAGAGCCTGATCAATTTTTAGATATCCCATTAGTTTTGATCATTTAACGGGTCTGAGTTCGAAACCATTTGTGACCTGAATCCAAACTTAATGACCCGGAACTGATGTATTCATGTTCATGTATATGATAGGGTTTGGATCTGGATACACACGACCTAGTCTTAATCCAACCCTTCAAGATTATATTGTAGCCCAATGTTTTAAAAAACGAACTGGAATTAGAACCACTTTGACCATCG